CCCCACAGCACCCCCATAGGGGACCTCCACAGCACCCCCATAAGGACCCCCCACAGCACCCCCATAGGGGACCTCCAACAGCACCCCCATAGGGTTCCCCTCCCCCCACAGCATTTCTATAGGGACCCAGCTCTCCCCGCAGCATTTCTGTTGGGACCCCCTCCCCACACAGCCCTCCCATACCGCTCTTCCAGCCAGCTCCACACACAGCACCGCCATAGGGACCCCCGCCCCACACAGCACTTCCATGCAGACCCCCCCTCCTCATACGGCATTTCCATAAGGTGCCCAGCTCCCCACGCAGCACCTGCACAGAGACCCCCCAGCCCGCACATCCCCGCACAGGGACCCTTCCCCACTCAGCACCTCCGTCCTTCCGGCCCCTCTTTCCAAGCACGCAGCCAGCCCTGGGGCCTGGGGCCGAGCCCGCCCGTGGCCGTTGTTCTCCAGGAGCCGGGTGTCCATTAGGCAACGCAGCTCTTTTTTTGAATGAGCTAATCCGGATCTGCGCCTCCCCGGCCCCTGCCCCCAGGCCGCCCTTGCCTTGTCTCGCTGCCGGGCCAGCCCCAGGGAGACCGACAGCACGCGTCGCAGGCCCGGGGATCTGGGTCGGGGGCTGATCTCCAAGGGTCTTGTCTTCATCGCAGCTCGAACGCCGCAGGCAGGGCTGCCAGGGTAAGGGAGGGCTGGGGGGCTTTTCCCTCTGCCCCCAAGAGGCAGCTCCGACGCGGGAACATTTCTGAGTTGCTTAAAACAATATAAAGAAATAAAACGCTCCGTCTTTAAGGTCTTTTTAACACCTTTGCTTGAACAACCCAGGCTGGCGGTGGCTGTTGGGTCTGGACTGTCCCCTCCCCAGCTCCCAGCCTCCTTTGTAGATCAGAGGAGCTGCATCGCTGGGTGGCATTTGGGGGGAAGAGATGCTCAAATGCAACGAGGGAAGAGCTGGACAAGCCATCAGCCCAGGAGACAAAACCACAGAGCAAAGGAGGGGGGTGAATGGCTGCACTGCATGGAAACCATCGGACCCGCTCTTCAAGCAAATCAAGAGAAAAGAATGCAGAGAAATAGCGTCCACCCTATTTCCACGCGGAGTCGAGCAATCAGCCATCAGCAGGACAGGCAGAAATGCTCCGGGATCTTCCCTGCAGTGTCCTGAAACGGGGGAGCAAGTCAGTTTCCCAGCTAAACGCTCAGGGTTTTAACACAAGCCTCTTTTGTAAAGGGAGAGAAACCAGTGGAGGTTTCTGGAGTCTGGAACTTGCTAGTTCAGGCCTCTTAATTACAGGTTTCACAGGCGAGGCTGAGATGGACACGGTCGCCTCCCAGCACCCGGTAGGTTTTGGGAAGGCCCATTTGCGTGGCACGTTATTCACCCTCGTTCTGCAGCTCGCTTAGCCCCCCTTGGCGGGTCCCCTCGTTCCTTTTGCAGCAGCTGGGAGATGAGCACGAGCCTGGAAATCTGCTGAGAAATGCGGCCGGGCCGTGGCGGCTGCCATGCTAATAGCCGCCTTCAATTTTTTCACATCAGAATCCGATCCTACATCTCTGGGAGGCGCCAATGACATGGCCGCATTCTGTGTCTTTTAACTAAGAATTGACTAGATCTTTTAAATAGACACCCCGCCATCCGGCCGGCCGGCCGTCACACAAGGACGTTTCCATTTGCTTACCAGCTCCAAGCAGGAAATAAACTCAGCTGGGGACAAACCCCCACCAAACAGATCTCTTCCTCCTGCCTTGGAAGATCCCAGGCCGCAGTCTGTCCATGCACAGGGTGCAATAGGGTTGAGGCTGCGCGCATCCATATTAATGGAGCCTGCCAGGTCGCCCTGTAGAAGGATTTCACCCTTTCTGGCACATGTATCCGCTGGCGCTGGGTCTCCCTGCCTGCTCTCCCATCTTCCTTCTGACATGGGTGCTTGGCATCCTCCTGAGCTTTAAGTACAACATAAAGCCATGCAAGGACGCCCAAACGCCAGATAACAACAGTGCTGTTAACAACCGTGCAGGGCTGGTGCAGTCCCCATCTCCCTGCCAGGGCTGAGGCTCTGCGCCTGCCTGACGGGGCTGCAGAGTCCCTGGCTCGGCC